ATATACTGTTTAATCATCCTCTGGATGAACACAAGTGTATCCTCTAATAAAACAAAAATATTCAAACATTAAAGCTACTATCTTGCCTTTTGCTTTTCTTTAAAGGGCAGTTTTGAGGATGTTTTATAGAAATTTGTGGAAATGAAGAAGCTTCTAATTAAAATAGGCAAAATCTGCTATTGCACACACTTAATGGTAACGTATTTCCTCAAAAAAGGAGACTCTTAAACTGTACTCTTAAAAGTGCACTTACATGTCACACTGGGAGGGTTATGAAAAAAAATCATTTCCTTACATATAGAATTAAAATGAATATTTCAAAGCCTATGGTTTGAACATCAATTTCCTCTTGAATTTCCCTTGAAAAATTAACATGATCATGTTGAATGGGAAAAATTTCTGAAAGTCTAAGTCTATCTTCCACTGTGAGATTCTCATCAAAAAGCCCTGGGAGAAATGAAAGCAGGTCACCTAATTGAACTTTGGGAAAAGTGAGAAAACAGTAAGTATCCAAACTAAACTTCAGAGCTGGCCATTCTCTAACTTTTTTTCCTTTGAACTTTAAAATCTTAAATCAACTTTTAATTTCAAGAAACTTTTTCAAACTATGAAGTATGCTCCTATCTCTTTTTCTTTCTGTCTCCACATGTATGTGGGTGCACACAAACACATACATACACACATACATAATTTTTCCTTCTTTTTTTTCTTCAAGTCCTGTTGTGTGAACTCCTGCATTTTGATCACTGGCGTAAAATCTTTCCTATCTTTTGCATATCATTTGAGTTGTCTTTCCCAAGCTTCTTAATAATTCAAGATAGACTGTCTTGCACAGGAAGAACTAGCAGGCAGGTTTACTTGGCCGATCTGTGGAATTACATTAAAAAGAGTCCGAAGATAAGCTTGGAGAGGCTACTCTGAGTAACACTGAGACTTCTTAGTGTCATCAATGGCACCAGACACCATCCTTCAGAGCTCGGTGCAGTAAATCAACCGCTGTAGTCTCTTTTTCCATCTGATGCTCCCATCTTTGGTTCAGAAGTCTGTATCCAGTCTCACTCGCAGAAGCAATTGTCTTTCCATTCCAAAAACACTTGCCATTCTCTCAAGCTCTCCAAACGCTTTACACCAACATCTGCTTTTAATTAAAGTCCTTGCATCACTGGAAACTTCTTCAGACTGCATCCATTTTCCTAGTTACTCAGTAATCTTGATTCCTACCAGAATCAGACTAAAACCAGAATGGAACATATCAATGGAGTTTCTAAAACACACTGGATTAAATGTTTGAATTTTAGTGTAAGGGCTATAGAAATCCATACAGTTTTAACCAGGTAAGTAAGAATAATTAGCTCTGTAGATAAACGTAGTCTAGCTTCCATGTCGTGTTTAAACTTAGTATATGCTCATCAAACTCGTCAAAGATACTCTGACAGTCTGGAGTAGCGAAGAAATCGGGGATAAAGCTAGCATACATTTAACAATGCCTAGGTGTATAAAAAATGCAGCACTTTGTGACAGATGAGCTGTTGGAGATGAGAGAGAAGGGATGGTCAAGCTTGGTTTGGATCAGGTGCGTGGTTGGGCAATCATTGGCATAGAAATACAGGTGGGATTTAGACATAGTAGATGTTTATTTCAGAGGTGATCTACTCTCCCCTCCTCTTGTGCCTTTGTGTCAGTGCATTACCAAGAAAAAATCCCTAGAGAACAGCCAACGTAAAGTCCACATGTATTTACATTTTGAAAGAAAAGACAATTTTGATCTGCATAGTATCGAAATGACCAATTTTGGTGGTTCAGTTTCATACATGATGGCTCATGTTATTTGGTTTTCCATTTTCCTTTTTGGAATTTAAGAATGACTATATGCTAAATACTATATTATGAATTCAAATTTCTAAACAGTATTATAAAAATGTCAGTATCCTTCTTCACTTTTCCATTATTTTCTCTTTTTTGCTTCTTTTTTATTATTTATTTTTATCAAAAAGGCAGATGATTTGTAGAAAGAAAGAGATACAGAGAGGCCTTCCATCTGCTGGTTCACTCCCCAAGTGACTGCAACAGCCGGAATTGAACTGGTCCAAAGACAGCAATCAGGAGCTTCCTCTGCGTCTTCCACATGGGTGACAGATCCCAAGGCTTGGGGCCATCCTCCACTGGTTTCCCAGGCAACAATCAGGGAACTGCATGGGAAGTGGAGCAACACATAAGCGATTTTGGTGTGTGCAAGGTGAGAATTTAGCCGCTGAGCCAACGGGACAGACCCTGAATATTTTACTTTTTTAAAGATTTATTTTGTTTATTTGAAATGCCGAGTTACACAGGATGAGATGGAGAGACAGAAGAGAAGAGAGAAGTCTTATCTTACTCAGTATCCACATGGCTACAATGAATAGGGCTGGGCCAGACCAAAAGCAAAATCCTGGAGCTTCTTCTGAATCTCTCATGTCAGTGTAGGAGCTGAAGCAAGCAGGCCAGCTTCTGCCCCTTTCCCAGGCACACTAACAAGGGCTGGATCAGAAGTGGAGCAGTGCAGACTCAAACCAGCACCCAGTTGCAGGGAATATAGGCCAGCACAATGCCATTCCAGAATGATCAATTTTCTAATATTTTTGTGGAAAGGTCCTTAGTATCTTATGCATTGCATGCCTGTGTTTTTTCTGTTTTGTTTTTACTGCTTAAATGCATACTTGAAAGTAAACAAAAGTCTTAATTCTTACGTAGTTAAATTGGTCAAGATTTTCCTTTAAAATTTCTATTAAAGATAATCCCTACAAAAGCTTTCTCAATTCCACAAGTACCTGAATATTTTTTTTTCTCAGTTTTGATTTGGTATTTGTTTCTTTGTGTTGCAAAAATAGCATTTATCTCATGTGGAGTTTGAGACTGTGCAGATGGTATTGATGGTCCCAAATTAATTGTGTAACCCATCATTACTCTTGCTACTTTAAAATTGCTTTTTTTAGACGTTAAGCTGAATCGCTGCTCTATTTATGGCACTTTGAATCCTCTGTTCTCCTTGAGCCTATCTGTTATAGTATTGATCTAAACTATTTTAACTATTGTGATGTTACACTGAATATCCACTGAGAATCATCCCATTTTTAAAAAAGACTTATTTATTTTTATTGGAAAGCCAGATAAGCAGACAGGAGGAAAGATGGAGAGGAAGATCTTCCATCTGATGATTCATTTCCTAAGTGATTGCAATGACTGGAGCTGAGTGGATCAGAAACCAGGAGCCAAGAGCTTTGTCAGGGTATCCAACACAGGTGCAGGGTCCCAAGGCTTTGGGCCATCCTCAACTGCTTTCCCAGGCCACAAGCAGGGAGCTGGATGGGAAGCAGGGCTGCTGGAATTAGAACCAGTGCCCATATAGTATCCTGGCGTGTTCTAGGCAAGGATTTTAGCTACTATGTTATTGCATTGGGCCCAAATTATTCCATTCTTTACTCTCATTTTTAAATACACTGGCAAGTTTATGTTGCACAAAAAATCTTAGATTCAGATTGGCATTTTAAAATTTCGTGTTGTTATTTTTATTGAGCTCAGTTTCTCAAATTTGTAGAATGCTTGAGGCAACTTTGGTGTCTTTGTGCTATTGATTTTTTAAAGATTTATTTTTTTATTGGAAAGGCGGATATACAGAGAGGAGAGACAGAGAGGAAGACCTTCCGTCCGATGATTCACTCCCCAAGTGAGCGCAACGGCCGATACTATGCCGATCCGAAGCCAGGAGCCTCTTCCGGGTCTCCCACGCGGGTGCAGGTTCCCAAAGCTTTGGGCCGTCCTCGACTGCTTTCCCGGGCCACAGGCACGGAGCTGGAAGGGAAGCGGGGCTGCCGGGATTAGAACCGGTGCCCATATGGGATCCCTGGCGTGCCAGGTGAGGACCTTAACCACTTGCGCCACCGCGCTGGGCCCTGATTTTTTAAATATACAGAAGTATTACTACTCACTTAGTCCCACCTTTTTTTCATCTTCACACTTAACATGCAGTACTTTCTGATCTTGATTTGAAGGAAAGCAAATATTAACATTTTGGATGGCAACTTTCGGGTTGACTCTCTGGTTTTCATTTACAGCATCTCATTTGAGATGATGTTTGCTCCCCGTTTTTGCAAATCCTCCTCTTTCTCTTGTCTAATTGCATAGGCTAGTAACTCCAGAACGTATTATTCAATGGTGGAAGTTTGTCTCCTGATTTTGTTTTGGTTTCCCTGATCTTCACTAGAAACACTTCATATATTTAATAAACAATAAAATTCTGCCAGAGTATTTTAAAAAGTTCACGAAGGAAATGAAACGATACAATTATTTTCGTGCAAACAATGTTTCAAATCCATGGAGAGGTTTTTCTGCATGATACACATCTTGCTTGCATGAACGTTTTACACTGGAATTTTTAAGTTCCGCTTCTGGGCTTTGCTGTTGTGCTTCAGATAATGCCATCAATCTTGGAACTTCCCTCCATGTGTTTAAAAAAAAAATACATGTTTTTCACCCATTGCTTAGGAAAAAAAAAAAAAAATGTTGCAGCTCAGGGCAGGGCATTGGCCATGTCAGCTACCAAGGCCCAGAGTTCCTTCAGGAACAAGGCTTGCTAGAGTTGTTTCAGAGGAGCTTGGGGAGGAGTCGGGCCACCCCTCCCCCTGCCCTACTCTGGTGCCACCCGCAGAGTTGAAATGTGAGCCCGGGTGACCGAAGCCGCCAGAGCAGCCGCCTCCCGCGTGCCCCAGCGCCGTGGGGAGAGACAAAGAGACCTCGGTTCCCATCGCAGCCCGCACCCCGCACGCCCGGCGGAGGACTGCACGCGCCACCCGCCGCGCGCCCAGCCCGGCTCCCACCCAAGGCTCCAGAGGCGATGGCCAGGCTCCCGCTGCCCTCCGCTGTCGGGAGCGCAGTTCCCTCGGTCTGAACGCCAGATCCTCCCTGTCTGCCTAATTCAGAGCTCTCCCTGCGCTCCCAAACGTGAGCTGAGGCCACCGGCTTGGATGGACACTTCGCGGCTGCCCGGGCGTCCTGGGGTCTTGCTTCCCAAGTTAGCGCTGCTCTTGGTCTGTGCAGGTCAGTGCCAAAGGGCGACGGGAGAGGGGTAGGGAGTTGCGGTGCGCGTGGGATGAACTGGGACGGGACCGTTTTGGCAGGGCTAGGACTATGTAGTCCCGGGAAGGTGACCACCGAGACCCAGGATCTTAGCCCTCTCCAGCAACTTTGGTTTTGCTCTTTTTATTTTTACAAGTTTTCTTTCCTTTCCTTTCCTTTCCTTTTTTTCCTTTCCTTTCCTTTCCTTTCCTTTCCTTTCCTTTCCTTTCCTTTCCTTTCCTTTCCTTTCCTTTCCTTTCCTTTCCTTTCCTTTCCTTTCCTTTCTTTCTTTTTTTTCCTTTTCTCTTCCTTTCTCTTCTTTTCTTTTTCTCTTGGCGAAGTAATTGAAAGCAACAGTCTCACAATTACAGGATTTTCTCTCAAGATAGCGGAATGCACCCGCTGCAGAGAAATGCGTTGGGTTGAGGGAGGTGTCTGAAGAATGAGGGGAAAGTATTTCGTGTGAACGTACCTGAAGTTTGAGGTTTTACTAAACTTTAAGAAGAAACTCATCTGTGTGTTCCATCTCACTTTATGCTCCCATGACCTCTTCCACCTCTGTCTCTCTCTATTTATTTATTTTAAACAATTTTTTGTATATCCTCAACATTCCCCTTTTAGAAATGAAAAAAAAAAGTCCGATACCTTTATTTTTATTCTTTAGAATAGCGAGTTTGATAGGTAGGATATCTGGATGTGTTAGATGAGTTTTTTGACAGGTGTGAGTTGATGCAGCCTAATCTGTGTTCCCGGATTTGCGTATGCACTTACTTAGAGCTGAAGGACGTCTCAGACGAAGCAAACCAAACCAAACGGGATACTCTGTGATTGATACAGAGCCCTGGATATTCTAACACTGGCTATTCATATATAAAGTTAATTGTATCTGTCCATGTTCACGAAACAGTTACAGGTTAAAAGCAAAGTTCTTTGTAAAGTGTTTACATGACTAATTTCCTGTGACAGGAATCATAGGCTTATCTATGATCGTACCAAGCTCAATGGATGCCTAGCACTACAATTTACCTTTACGTATTCAGAAAATACCGCACCTGAAGTGGATTGTTCTGCCATCCCGACACCTGCACGTGGAAAGAACTCGATTTTTCCATTGATCCTGTTCACGGGACTTATCACTTCCACAGAAAATTTCAATCTCAATTGAAATAGAAATTGGTGCTTGGCTAAAAGTTGTTGTAAAAATACTTCGGGATATGAAAATTCTCATTCTGATACAAAAGCTTGTGGAAGCAGAAACTCACTCTCACACTGTGAAGAGGTTCCACCCTCTAGTGTTTTAATAACAGCGATTTATTTTGCATACAGCTATGTAAGATTTTCATATTTGGAGGGACTGAGAACTGATTGAATCAATATTTTATATGTAAAAAAAAAGCGCTCTTTATTTTTTCATGTGGAACAGTGGTTGTTTCCACATCCTCTGTTTATCAAAAGAAAAAAGCAAGCAAAAAGAAAGTGAAACTCCAGTACCCTAATCACTGTCATCATCCTCTCCATTGAACTACACTCCCTCCTGTCCTTCTGTCTGTAATTTCCTCTGCTGCACTGAAATCCATTCTGTACTTGTGACCATCCCTTCATTAGTCCTAGGTGTACAGTCCTCCAGTCCCCCTGGACAAGTAGAGCATAAACCTGGCTAGCAGGATTGGTGGGTTAGAGTTTTTCTCCATTTCCTTTCTCTTGAAACTTTCTTTACAAAGTAAGGACAAACCAACACGGGGTTGGCTTACTTGTCTTTGATGAGAAGTATTCAGCTAATAAGTTCTTGTAGAATCCTTTTCGTGCTTAGCGTTTGTGCTTCCCTAACATTTACTGAGAGATGTATGTTGAATGATAACTAGAGGAAGTCATCTTTGAGTCTTCTCTAAATACAGAAGGTGCTGCTATAAATCATCATATAAAGGTTGTGCCATGAGAGCTACAATCATTGCGTACTATATGTGTTCAGAGGAAGAAACCTTATTGCTGGTTTAGAAATATGAGATGAGTAAAACTCCTGGTTCCTAAAAAGAGATCGTGAAATATTTGCTCTGGGAGATTCTGTTGGAGAGGACTTGAAAGAACCACACTGATGAAGGATAGAGAAGTGGAGTAAAATACAGTAGGATATTATGTGAGCAAAGGCAAAACCATGAGATGAGGACATGCAAATAGGAATAACTCTGTTAGGGTGGAACTAAGAGATACAGCTGGAAGTGAAAGATGGAGAAGGATGCCAGGATACAACAGAAACCAAAGTAGTTCAGGACCTTGTCCAACAAGTTGTTCACGGAACATAAACTAAGTTGAAGCCCTGTCTGTAGTCAGAGCTATTGTCCCTAATGCATTCAACTCATGTTCCATTTGATTAAGTAAATAAGAGCAAGACTGCTAGACACAAAGCATTGTGTTTGACTGTGGAGTCACTTTTGGAAAGAAACCCAAGCAAGTGTTTATGTTATGGTCCAACCCCCACTGCACGCTACAAAGACAGGATTTGGTCAAGGTTTGACCTTCCGGGCCTCAACCAGAGACTTCTGTCTCCTGCCTTTCCTTCCTGCCTTACCCTTAGCTGTAGCTTGTAAGAGCTGTTTCTCCGCAAGTGTTTGTGTCAGATATCTCTTACGCTGTCCTCCGCATTCCCTAAGATGCGAGGCTGGTGAGAATGAACGCAGAAACTAAACAACCATTGAGGAAAGTTGGAGATGGCTGATTTTCAGGGATATGGACTTGATAATAAAAGTTGTCCTTCTGAGGGCACTTGGGAAGCTCCATTCTTTCACAAGTGAGAAAATCCTTCTGAAAGATGCAAATGTTGTTCTTCCTAGAACTTATCTGAAATCAGCCAGAGAAAGTAGTGCAACAAAAATAATCTTTGAGGTATTACGCACAGTACAGTTTGGAAAAGTTATAACTGTCAATGTGGTTTGCTGTACAATTAAATCTGGCCTTTTTGCTGGTTTAATTCTGAAATGTAGACAAGCAAGACTACCGGAAAATGTTATGGTATTTCTACTTACCACAGGTGTAATCCAGTTTCTTGGCTTCAAATGTTTGGGCGTGGCTAGCTGTGCTGATGGCTCAGCATATGCTGATAACTCCATGTCTTTGTTGTAGTAGCAGCAGTAAACGTATTCAAAGAGAATACTTCAAAAAGTTCGTGGAAAAGTGTAGTTGAACTATAACTTGTAAGCAATTTTAAATCCACTAACTTTTCTTCATAAGTGCTTCTTGTGAGCTTTTGAAGTATGCTCACATACATGAATTTCATGTTTTCTGCATCTTTATAAACTTACCTTTGTATTCCTTTTTCCATGAACTTTGTGGACTCTTCTCATATTCTTGGAGTTTAACACAATGTCACCCCCTTGGACGTCACCTGAAAGGCATTCATAAAGTTTCTTACTTATTCATTGTCCTAATGTGCCAGAGTAATGGGGACATTAGCTCTCCCATGATCTGAAAGACCTTAGAGCTGGAAGTAAAATTGAATTGGTTTAACTCAAGAAAACTGAGTTATATAAATATCTGAAAAACTAAAAAATAAGAACATTAGAAATTGACTGAGAAAACTATCAAATAGGTGGATTTAAATATGAAAAGCTGTGCAAAGACCATCGTCAATGTATTAGCTGCTTTCTTAGTCTACATCACTTGAATCTGTCTTCAAAATCGGGGAGTGATTTAAGCAGAGGTCTTAATTTGTTGCAACAGAGTTGTTTTTCTTCTCATTTCTTTTTACTATAATCCAGTGGGAAACCTCAACGGCTGTGTTTGTCAACCTCTGAGGTAGAAATAAAGTTGGAATATATAAATGATTTCATTTGTTCCACAAAGGCGTTTATTATTGATGAAGGCGGAGGAGTTTTCTGCCTTTTGATCATATACATTTGTAATGAATCATCTTGACAAGGAGATGATTTAAAAGCAAACTGTATTTTCTCCTTTAGGTAAATCAGTTGCATGGATATATAGACCTAAGCATAATACTTTGTATTTTGGCGTTATAACTTTGATAGGAAAGCACAAGTTTTATATAATTCATAAAATAATTGCTGTTGCCTTCAGGAGTTCAAAAAGGAATGGCTTATTTTGTGATTTTTGAACACACTCATGCAACTTGAAAGATCATATTATACTAAATTATTTTCTAATAATATATCTGAAACTCATAAGTCCAATAGTTTTCACCATGTTATAACACAGTGATAACCTTAACTGGAATATTTTTTAAAATTTTTAATATTTTTGATATAATTTTCTTGCTTAAATTTATATAGAAAAAAAGTAGTAATTTGTTCCTTTTTTTTAACTCCAACATATCCTTTTAATTAGAAAATACTCTCTCCCTTTGTGTAATGCTATTTATACTTTAGTGATTCTGCAGTCCAGCATTAAACTCTTACTTATTCTCAGTTAATTACCTATCAGGACTTCTTTCAGTCTAACTGGACTGTCCGAATGCAGGCTCTCTTTTATTATTTTATGCCTTCATACTGTCAAAGAAAATATACTTTATTTTAAAATTATCACTGTTTAATATCATCAGTGTTGAGAACCTATTCTGTTAATTGAGACCAATTGAAGATATAATATCTAAGGTCAGAAGGCTTTTGTCATTTAAAAATGATAAGGTTATTTTGATTAATTAGTTAAATCATTCATCCATTCCTCCCTACAATGTATCATTCAACAATGATGAGTGCCAATTGTGTCACTTTCCATCCTTCTTGGTGCAGGAAACTTAAAGAGTATCTTGTCTTACTCAGCTTAGAGTTTAGTGGGCAAGGAAAACTAGTTTCAGCTATGAGAAATATTGAAGAATTCTGATATGCAATTGAGGATTTAAGTGCACTACAATGTGGGCAGTGACTGATTGAATAATTGTTTCTGAAGCTATGATTTCCAAGGTGTAACCCCTTGCTTTGTTTAGATTCAGGGTAGACTTGAGGGGCATTGTTCCAGAGGAAGGAGACACACAAGCACATGCACACACCCACACAGAAAGGAAGAGGGAGAATCCACCTGTTGGTTTACTCCTCCAAATGGTTGCAATAGCTGGAGCTCATCCAAGCTGAAGACAAGATTCAGGAGTTTCATCTGGGTGTCCGGTGTAGGTGACAGGGAACAAAGCCCTTGGGCCACTTTCCACAGCTTTCCCAGCAGAGAGCTGGATGGAATTGTATCAGCTGCCACTCCAAATGATGTCCCTTAGGGATGTCAATTTTGGAAGTGGCAGCTTCACTCACCGCACCACAACAGCAAGCCCAGCTTTACTACTCCAATTTTTATGTTGTAGGTGATTGTCTGGCTCAGTGTGGCAAAGACTGCAGATCTTACTGTTGTGATGGGACCACACCCTACTGTTGCTCCTATTATGCCTACATTGGAAATATTCTCTCGTGAGTATCGTGGAATTTGACAAGATTGACACTCTGTACTTTGTCCAGTTATGTTTTTGGGGAGTACTAAGTTAAAATACTAGGTGGGTTGTATTTTAAAATTGGTCACTGGCATAAAATTGTTAGAAATACTGAAACACTCATCTATAGTTTGACAAAACGCACAAATTAATACAACAAAGTAAATTGTATTAAGGGAAGGGAGTTGGAAAAACCCGTATTGCTTCATTTTATGTATAATAATAATTTTTTGGTAGGCATTATATTACCAGTTTTTAAGTCTGGCGTCAGCATGTTTTTGTCTGTTTTACTGAAGGTTTTGTAAGTTAATACTTGTTGTATAATTATGACCAGTTTATTTAGACACTCATGTATAAATTCAACTGACATCTTTCCCTTAGATGCCAGAGAAAAAAAGAAGTTATGAATAAAAGCAGCTGAGACATGGAATGTCAGTTTTCTACACAGTGTATATAAAACAACCTCAGAAAAAAAAGTTCAGAGCAAAAGAAAGGCTATACATGAATAATGTAAAATAATAAATAACCAGCAGCACACACATACACACAATATATACACTCAGACTATGTTGAATGTTTCTTATTAAAAAATAAGAACCTGTTTCAGAGCTGCCTCTGGGCAAGGGAATGGAGCGGCAGGACCTGCCTTCCAGGCTGTATTTCTGGAATGCATGCACTTGTTCCAGAGAGGAACATACAAGTGAGGACTAAGATTAGGAGCCTATGAACTTCCTCAGCGGAAATCCCCCTGGCTTTGGAATGGCGCAGCCATGGAGCCTCTATCTTCTTCTGTGAGCTTTGTCCAAGGAGTGTTCAAGAATGATGCTCCTTAACCTGGACCATGTGAAAGCTCCACTGGAAGCAGGAAATACTGAGTCCTACATTCCCAGCTGTCTTAGGGATATGCCCATTGACATAGTTTATAATGCATCTTTTTTTTTTTCTTTTTTTGAGAATACAAAACACAGCACCATGTAAACTGCTAAAGCGAGCTTTGGAGCTGAGACTAGAGAGCGTGTGTCTGAATATAACTGAATTGAAATCATTTTGGGGGGATACTCAGGAAGAATATCTCCAGGATATATTGGCCTGCAATAAAAATGATGAATGTAATTTAAGCATTCAATACAAATGCAAACAAACTCGAAATAAAATGTTTTCCTTTTGTCTTCACGGATGATTTAGTGGAAAAAGATGAAGCCAACTTTTCTGCTTTAGAAAACTGTCGGAATTATGTTTACAGTTTATCATGTAACAATATTTCAAATTATTCAAAATGCATTACTTTAAAAAACATATTTATGTATTTATTGCATTTGAGATAGAGAGCGAGCCAGAGAGCACAAAACACACACAGAGGCAGAGGATGGGGGAGAGAGAGAGAAGACAGAGAGACGTTCAGTACCCCAAATGCCGTCAATGGACACTCCTGGCCCAGACAAAGGTCAGGTTAACCAAATCCACATAGTCCATGGAAATACCAACAACCTTCCTCCCTGAGCCATTACCTTCTGCCTCTCAGAGTACGCATTAGCAGGAAGCTGTTGTCAGGAGCCACGCTGGATTAGAATCCCAGTACTCAGATGCAAAGTCGGTGTACTAAACGGTGTCACAACCCCTGTGACAGAAGCTGACTCCAAAATACGTTATTAAAACATTCATATTTTCTTTTTGAGTGGTCTCCATATAACAGGTGCTGCTGTTCCTGGCGCATGTGTGTGTGGGCTAGGGAACATGGAATCAGAAGCATCTTAGGCTTTCAGGCCCTCTGGCTCCCCGTTCACTGCTCTGTCCACTAAGTATGGCCTGAGTGTGTCATACTCCTCTTTCTCACCTCACACCAACTCCACTCTAGTAAACATGTATGCAACACAGATTAATCAGAATAGCTAAAAATTCTTACATTACAGGTATGCCTTATCTGGTTTGCATATATAGTTAAAATCATGGAAGTTCTAGGACATGATCTAGAACTTTGCAGCGTTTGGTTAAGGGAAAGAATCTGTGGAGTCATCCACTTATCTGTGTTATTAGAATCATTTGTGTGTTCTATTTAAGAAAACGTGTTATGGAAAGGAAAATAAACACAGATGGCATGATACTGCAGATATTTAAAACTGAATTTACTGTTCAAAATAGAAACCATTCAGTAGATCCCTCACTAAACAATTCTTAGTACTTTAAAGTGTTTCCCTCTGCTTGAAGTAGGGTACATTTTCAGGATTTCCAGTTATTGTTTAATAATTGAACAGAGTTCTTAACCCCACCCAAAGTTTTGGTTTGTTTTTCAAGTGGGGACAGGGAGGGCAGAGATGTGCAGTAGGTAGGAAAAAAGACATCAGTTCCAAGAATGCTTACAAAGCTCTGTTACACACGTATTTTCAAAAATTGCTCTATTCGAATCCCAAAACGATTGCTTTCTCTCTTTCAAGCTTCCATGCACGCTCTTAATAAAACATCTTAATCATCTTAAAAACTAAATGTATGTTTGATTATACAAAAATATATTAAGGAAGCAAGCAATAAATGCAATGTAATATTTTGTACCACACATCATTTTAGAATTTGTATTATATTTTGTTTTCAAAATGAAAATGTTAACAATTTAAAATGTACTAAAAAGAGTAGCACATGTAATTTGAACCATTCTAGCCTATTAATTGTAAGGTTTGGTTCACAGGAAATCACCTCTTTCCCCCGAGATAAGGTCTCCACTCCCACACCCACCCCAACTGTTCACTAAAATAATCAGATCTGAGTATCAAGGCTGACAAGCCCTTAATTCTGTTTACTCCAGTTGCCTTTGCTGGTGTGCAAATTCATCCTTAAAAAAAAATCGCAGGAGCTAAAAACAAAGAATCACAAGAACTGACTTTCATTTTATCTTTTAGTTGAAGTCTTATTTAAAATATTTTTTATTCTAAATATGAATCATTCTGGCAAGTAACTTCAGATTCCTTTCCCTACTTTTTTTTTTTTTTGTATTTCAGGTAAGTTTTTCAAAGTGTACTTGTCACATGAAAAAAATGTGGAAAATTAAACTTGAAAATGGCATGTCTACTTTAGCAATTACGGTAACAAATACTGACATCAGTGGAGTCATAGTGGTACCTTCTGGAATTTATGCACAGTTTTACAGTGATCAGCACATATCACTTGATCAACCACTGATAAATGCAAAATGAATGTGTGAGCAGGGTGACACTGGAATCCAGGCCCGGGTAGTAACCCTGACTTCAAACATCCCAAAATCTACTTAAAAAAAAAAGAGTGTGCACATTATAGTTCTGATTCCTTGAGCTAACCTAGGAAGCACCCTCAGAAGGCCAGAAAGAAAGAGAAATAATAAAAGAAATAATAAAAGCTCTTGTGTGTGTGTGTGTGTGTGTATCTGTGTGTGAGAGTGCAAAAGAGAGAGAGGGAGATAGAGATTGAGTCTGTGTGTGAATTACAACAAGATGTTTAGGGCGAGTCTCAGGGACGTGAATTTAACTTACAGTTAACCTACAGTATAACTTACAGAGTGCATATCTACTCAATACACAACGAAGAAAGGGAAACAAGCTCTTGTACATAGACAATGATATACAAAAGAAAATGGTCAGTTTCTGAAAACCCTGGTTGTGTAATATAGCGCAAAAGAGAAGGTTAAATACTAAATATATGTAGAGAAAAGTAGGTCAGACAAAAGATAAGTCTTTGCTAACAAGTATTTTTTGCTCAATGCCTAACAAAACTAAAATGAAATAATTTAATACTTTTCTGGTAAAACAAGATTTCATGTTTTATACAGAAAGACACACATTATTGGACACCACTAACAGAATATGCAATGATGAGAAGACTCCATATTAAGATTATTTTGGTATTTTCCATAGATGAAAGATTTGAAATGCAAGCTGTTATTTAATTTGGAACAATGCTTATGTGATATTATAACTATTCCTTCTTTTAAGAGATTTTTGACCCTGAAGGCAACTACTTGACAATTAGAAGTCTTAATGTGTTCAAAACTGAGAATTTGAGTCAATTTGAGAAATAAACAATTTGCCACTAGGTTGATTCTGAAACATTTCATTCAACATATTTTCTCTATGAAAGACACAATGTTTTGTGATAAGTAAGAAGAAAATGCCTGGTTTTTTGGTGTTGGTGAAGTTGAATTAGCATGTGGCATAGATGGTATTCTTTAGAATTGGTAGAATTCAAAGAACTAGAGGGTGTAGTTGGGTGACTCTTGTCACCAGCTAAGCACAGGACTTCATGAAAATGATGCTATTCTGCCAGGTAAGAGAAAGTAACCATACCATGTTTAACAAACACCGAAGTGTGCCTAGTTTAGATGTAGATCCAAATGACAAAATATATAATCTAATTTCGTACTTTGAAACTAGATTTTTCCTCTTGGCCATTTGCTAAAATCTTGATTGGCCTTAAGGATTTATCATAGCACCATATGGCCACAGAGAAACCACCTGGGGAAAAAAATTAAAGAGGAAGAACTAATAATAGTAGTGGGATTAAATTTCTTTCTTTCTCAATGAAATGTGAAATATGTATTACTCCAAGTTTTGCCAAGACAGCTAACAAATATGATTTTGATTTTGGAGTCATGCTATGCATAAAAGCAAAACTGAGTTAAAAGATAAAGGTTTCGTGTTCCCAGATGACATTTGAGACTTTCTGATCATTAAGGAGCTGAAGGTTATGAATGAAGCACATGGAGTTATTCCAGTACCCATAGAAAAATAACACTTACAAAGGCCTTTTGTATAGGTAAAACTATTTAAGGTGATTAAGCTAAAAGAATATTAGTAGTACTTATTCCTTTTTAAAGTTTCTTTCTTCAGTCCTTATTTATTTGAAAGACAGAGTGACAGGTGGAAAGAGAGAGATTAAGGAGAAAGAGCAAGAGAGGAGGGCTGCTGGTTCACTCTATCCACTGGTTCACTCCCCATATGCCTGCAACATCCAGGGCTG